TGTAAATAAATATTAATTAAATGTCAAATATAAACGAAAAAATTTCCCGCCCAAAATCATGTCAATTATGACAATAAGAATTTGTCCATTATATAGATATAGATATAGATTTTAAGATTTTACTAAGAATTGGATTTTTTCGGATTTTATCAATTCTCATGGATTCTCATAAATTCTATAGGATTTGTTAGAAATCAACAAAAGTTACATGTAGCATTATTCAAGACTTCTATAGATTTCATCAGACTTTTCAATAGTTTTATAGTTTTTTTTTCTTTTTCTTTTTTTTTTTCTTTTCATTGAATAAACATCAACACTGATATGTAAACAACATATCGTTGTGAGAATTTATGAAAAATTTATACAAATTAATTTGAACATGAAGCAATGGGAATTTTTATTTTTACACTTTTTTTATTTATCTTTTTGTACAAATATTAAGCTAACTACCCTATGAATATAAGGAAAATGCATCATAAAATTGGGACAACCATTCAAAATTTTCCAAGGACTATATCCATCAGACTATATTCATTAGAAAACAATTGAAACAATGGTCTGTTGATGGACGGATCCGACCAATGGTTAAAATATGAGATAATAGAGGTTAGGAATAAGAAATAAAAGAGGAATACGATTTAATTGGATTTTATTAAGTAATTACGAGGTCGGCCTCTGATGTCAAGGTCGACACTTCTATTACACTTGGAATTATTACATGAATTTATTACAAGATTCTAGAGAGAGAAGATAGTAGTTAAGAGATTCAACAACCCAAAATAATTAACGGGCTCCTATTTATAGTATCCTTAAATGTGGTACTGTTCACCGGTCTTGTCGCACATTATTGTTGCAGGGTGTTGTAAATATTTTTACCGGAGTAGAATCGAAAGATTCGACACCGGGTCGTCTCACAAGGAAGGTTAGCCGGATTATTTGCACTAATATTCTATCACAAGAAAAGAGAAAAAGAAATCCTAAACATTCTATTCAAGATTGATGGTTTGTTTATGGACTACTAATTGAAAAGCAAGTAATTAAAGAAGCTAGACAAAACTAGAAATCACAAGTTCACAACTTAATACTCAAACTCAATTTATGAACAAGGAGCTAGGGTATCGGGGTCAATCAATTCCGATTCTCAATACACTTAACGAGCAATCAAGAGCTCGGTTAAATGTCTCGCTAAACTACTCATCTAGAGGTCTATCCTCAATAACTCTTCGTAACAAGAGGATAGACATAAACGAGCAATTCTTGAAACAATCAACACATAAGCAATACTATTATGAACAAGCTTATTCCTAACGAGCCTAGATCGAACGATTTCTCCTTTTCAGTTCTAAAATCGATTAATTAGATAAAGATGTTGATCAAGCATCAAAACCCTAGACTAAGCACAACTCGAGAGGATTGAGCAATTATCATGCATATAAACGAAATCGAACCAGAACGATCTTCCCCTAACCCTAGCTAAAGAATTTAGCTACTCATAATGCATTCAACATCAACAAGTACAATAATCAAAGCCATTCAATCAAAAAGAAAACGAAATGAAAGCTTACGATTAATGAATCCAATGTCGAAAACACGAATAAACCGAATCCAAAAGTCGAATCCCGGAGTTTTTCTCTCCAAGATCGAACACCAAGATCAAAAACAAGAGAAAGTATGAGTTTTTAGGTCCAAGTGCCAAGAATTATCGAAAACCTAGCTTAAAACATGAATGATGTCCGCGGCCGCGACATGTCCCGCGGCCGCGACTTTTCTTCGCTGCCCGTTGCTTCCAAAATCTCGGGCTCTCCGCATCGCGGCCGCGGCAAAGAAAACTGGGCGCGCGATTTGATTTGTTCACCGCGGCCGCGGGAACACCGTCGTGGGCCGCGGTGAAGGATTTCTGAGACATGGCTGTGATTTCCGGGCTCGTATCCACGCATCTGGACTCGGAATTGGATTCCGTCTTTTCCCACTCGACCCCAACTCTTCCGTCTAGATAATTATCCTCGCATGGCCACTTCCCAACCGAACCACCTATCCTGCACATCACCACCGACAAGAAAAACGCATAAAATCGAGAAAAACAAACAAGAAAAACCAAAAACGAACAAAATAAAGAAAACACACGACACGACACAAAATGGACCAAGAACCAAAGAAAATAACCTAGAATGGGGAAAAATAAATGCAAAATAAACAAGAAAAACACAACAAAAATGGAACGAACACAGGCAAGGCCGGCGCCGCTCTGACAGTTATTAAATGCGATTTGAGGTTTTTTTAATCATTGGCTGTCATGCATTTAATGCACACATGGTGGGCATTTAATGCTGACATGCTTTTTGGTCGGGCTAGATGTTGTAGGGTGACAGTCTATGACGGTTTGTCTAATCGTCAATGATCACCCTCCAAGTGGCAGTATTATATTATTATCGAGCTTCGCGCTCGTCTTCGGAGGCCGCACTGGATTCTTAGGTCAACCCCTGAGCACATTATCTTCTCTTGGTCTTCAAGATTCTTCTCCTAGTCTTCAATTGGACTTTAAAAATCCAATTGAATGCATGGATTTTTGAAGACTTTTAATAGATCATTAGAAATCCTAATTAAATATCTCTAAACTTTTTAAAGTTTTAAAAAGTCTCATTTAATATACCAAAATTTCACAAATCTTAAAAATTCATTAAAAGTCCTTAAAAGTCTTAAATAAATATTTGGTTGAGACTTAGAAATCACATGCAATATACATTAAGAGTTGGTTGAGATTTCTAACTTTCAAAATTTTTAAAACTCCTACATATTA